TTATTGTTACGATTATGGTTGCCACTATTGTTATAATTATGCTGCCTTTTGTTATAGCTTTGCCGTGGTCCTTGTTGTGATCTTTGCCGTAGTCCTTGCCATGATTCTTGTTGTGATCTTTGCCATGGTCTTTGCCGAGTCCTTGCTATGATTCTTGCTATGGTCCCTGCTATGGTCCTTATTATAGGTTTCTTTGCAGTAGATTTATTTGCAGTAGATTTCTTTGCTGCAGGTTCTTTGCCGTGGCCAAAGTCTTTGCAATTATTTCTATTATAAAAAAAAAGATCGTTAGTTATTTCTGCATTATATTGCCCATGTTGCTGATTGGTTAAAATATATAATCATATACTATCTTGAATTATCACATAATTGTATATATGCATTTACGTGATCGGGGTTTGTCACTGCCAGTAACAAGCACATTTTTTCTTAAAAATATAATTATATATAAAATTTTTTGGATGTTCTATAGAATAGATGGGCAATATAAGAAATAAGCTTCACTAATGATTAGTAATTATTAATTTTTAATATCGGAGTTGCGGAGTTTGCAGAGTTTGCCTACCTATTCTATAGAACATTTAATTTTATATTATCAAGTTGGTTTTAAGAACAAAAATAGATTGTTTTAGTAGAAAAAAGTTTGTTATAAATAAACTTCAAAATTTTATGTTTTTATATATAAAACTTTTTTCTACTAAGATAATCTATATTTGGCTTCTAAGTAAATTTGTTTAGCACTGAATTTTACATATATTATATCTTACCAAATTTCAATTTTTGAACTTTTTACTAAATAAAAAACTAAGTTAAAATTATATATAATTTTTTTTTAAAAATAATTTTTTTTTATGTAACTTTAACTTATTTTTTTATTTAGTAAAAAGTTCAAAAATTAAAATTTGGCAAAATAGAAAGTATGTAAAATTTTGTACTAAACAAATTCATTTAGAAACCAAAAATAAATTATTTTAATAAAAAAAAAGTTTATATAGAAAAATATAAAATTTTAAAATTTATTTATAACAAACTTTTTTCTACTAAGACAACATATTTTGTCTTTAAAACTAACTTTTTTAGCATAAAATTTTACATATAATTATATTGTTAAAATAAATTTTACTAGTAAAATCTTCAATTTTTATAGAATTTTAAAAAGTTGTTTTAAGTAATCTTATTTTACTATTCTTGATATGTTTAACTTTAAAATTTAAAAATAAGTTAATTTGTAAATTAGAAAAGATCTTGAGCTTAAAGTTTATAGTAAATTTATATATTTTTATTATAATT